CACGTACAAAAAAAAAGGTGATACGAGTTCTGCGTAATCACCGATATGTTTTGAATAAGATCGGAGAACACGAGGGACCACTGCGGACATCGTCAGCGGCCGATTGTATGAAATTGTGGCTCGAGGGTGATGACGACGAGGATGAATCTTCTGAGGAACAAGAGGAACAAGGATAGTGAGCATCCGGGGCGAATGCTCGTGCAGGACGGCCGATTGTAGGGAGCTAAATCGTACAATATACCCGCTATACGTATCTATATTATATTATATGTTTAAATCCGAGACGTTGGCGGTGACACGGTCATCATGACGTGTTTATATACATTCGACTTCGAGACATTAGTCGACAGTTGGTGTCGAGTCGAGAATACGAATAGACGAAAGACGAAAGCGATCGGCGCGACCGTGTTAGTGGACCGCTCTGGTCGTCGCGCGGTGATATCCGAGGAAGAGAGAAAACCCAGCAGGTTTTATCGTTAGATATAAAAGTCACTTTATTCGAAGTAAACTGTGTCGCCCCACTGTACAATGTCACGCTCGTTAGAGGAGACCTCGCTTGGCTCGACGCCGGTTGCACGCGAGAGATGATCGCGAGTTACGCGCTCGGATTGTGCTAGCGGATTTCAACGCGTGTCGTGTGCGTACTTGTGCGAACTTCGCACTGGGCTGATGCGAACAGAACGAGCGTCGCGTTCGTTGCTAACTGAGCTTGCGGGCCGGAGCAGGCAAGAATTCGCGGCCGGAGCTACGCGTGAGGCTGCGAGGAATTTCGAAACGTAAAGCTCCGTGATTGGCTCCAATATGTCTAGCGCAGACTATTGGTCGCCGTGCGGGCGATCACGCGATGCGCACCTGCGAGACGGTGGCGAAAACATCCAAAAAAAAGAGAAATACACATGTGCGCTGTACGACGAGTTTCGAGCGTTCTCGAAGGAACGCGCTTTTACTTAAGCTGTGCGAATAGCAAATATTAAATTCGCCGTTACTGGCTTCGCGAATGTTCCATCTGCGAATATTCGATTCGCAACATGCCGCCCGCCTCGTATTCGACGGAATGCGAAACAACGGGGGAGGAGATCGCATAAAGGAGCGTCTTATTGACAAGATTATATACACTATGTACATGTTTGACTTAGTCTAAGTTTTACAATGGCCTTAGAGCTAATGAAGAAAGAGAAAAATCACTTAATACTAACGGGATTCTGCAGGTCCCGGAGAGTTGATAGACGCAGGCAACGGGCAGATCTTGGTTATTGGTCGTTTAAGCTCGGAATTGGCGGTGCGCACTGTGACGACGCGGACGCGACCGTCCAGTCCGGGATGGACTTTCAGAATCCTTGCGAGTTCCCACTTTGAGGGAGAAAGCAAGTTATTTTTGAGAAAAACTAGCTCGTTGACTTTAACATTGTCGTGAGATTCGGTCCATTTGACTCGCTGTTGCAATGAATGTAAATAGTCCGATGACCAGGAGCGCCAGATCTGCTCGACCATACGTTGCACGTGTTGCCATCGCGACAAACGATTCGCATTGATTTCGAGTAACGATTCTTCCGGTACGCTCGTGAGCGGTCTGCCGATAAGGAAATGACCAGGCGTCAAGGCGGTAAAGTCGGAAGGATCGTCGCGGAGCGGAGAGATCGGTCGCGAGTTAAGGCACGCTTCTATCTTACATAATAGGGTCGCGAATTCCGAGCGCGATAAAGTACTAGCACCGACCATCCGCTTGAGATGGTGCTTCAGGCTTTTTACGCCTGCTTCCCAAAGCCCGCCGAAATGTGGTGCCGCCGGAGGGACGAAGTGCCACGTGACACCGTCATTCGCGAGGACGCTTTTTAGGAAGGGGTCACGCTTAAGAGCGCGAAAGCTGCGTTGGAGCTCGCGATCAGCGCCCTGAAAATTCGTGCCGTTATCACTATACATATCTGAGGGCAATCCGCGTCGGCTGACGAAACGGTGAAAAGCCGCGAGGAATCCCTCGGTGGAGTAGTCTTCCACGCACTCGAGATGGATCGTCTTCGTGGCGAGACAAACACCGCGACGTAGTGTTTACTCCCCCTTTGACCGCGGCCGACGAAAGGCGTAATAAGCATTGGCCCGGCATAATCTATGCCCGTATGAGAAAAAGGAGGAGAGGGGTTGACTCGCGGATTCGGGAGATCACCCATTAATTGCGTCGGGTTTTTTGCGGAATGCTTGCTGCATTTAACACATCTACGGATGTGAGATTTGATCAAGCTTCGCGCGGAAATGATCCAGTAATTTTGACGAAGCCATCTGAGCGTGAGCTGAGTTCCGCCGTGCAGGGAACGGAGGTGAGCTTGATCGACAGTGTTGCCAGGTCTACCGTTTTAGCGGTAGATCTACTGTTTTGGCTCACAAATCTACCGCCTACCGTTTTAGCTGGGTTATCTACCGTTTTTAATTTACATTATATATTTTATGGATTTTTCGAGTATGAATTAAAAATAAAAAATTTTATTGCCTGTTGCCTGGTATTGTGTGATAGGCTTAAGAGTTGTCACGGTCAGAGAGAAGCCTGAGAGATGTCACGGCCCCGTTTTTCGTGATTGGCGAATGCGATACGCCCTCTGTGGACATTGAAAACGTGGACATTGAACTACGTAGCCAATATCCACATTTTGCTAAGTGGGTAACGCAGATTTGCACAATTTTAGCCCCGTCCCGCGCTATGGTTAGATCCCATGCAATGATT